CACTGCAAGTAACTTTTTGATGGAATTAAAGAATGATTTGTGATCGCGGGCCACTGAGGCAGATTCCATCTCCTCAGCAACCCGCGACCACCACCCATCCTTGCAGCACCTCACGGCTCTCCGAACCTCCGAGCGAAGGCTGTGGTAAGCCTCCTCATTATCTGATGTGGGATACTATAGACAAGCAGAGTGGGCCTTTTGCTTTTTCTCAGTCAGCCTGAATACCTCCTCTGTCAGCCAGGGTCTCTGGGGAGGTCTGGACCGTATACCCAACGCACCCATTGCAGCTGAATGAGCGACAGTCCTAAACCTCGCCCATTTCCTCTCGACATAAACTTGTATCAGCTAGCTGAGACCATGCCACTATGGGTTTGAATGGGGTCCTGGGTGTACACCCATCACCGGAGTGGAAGAATGGCAGGTGCATCTTACAGATGACAAGTCGATGGTCAGTGGGCAGATCAGTTTCACGGTAGGTCCTGGTCTCAAGGACATGGGCGCACATCCGCCGTTCCGTCATTATGTAGTCCAGCAGATTTTCTTGCTTTGACCCAGCATGCATCCATGATGTTGTGTGGATGCGCTGATGCCAGAACAGCATGTTGGTAATTACAAGCTCATGGGCTGCACAAAAATCTAGCAGCCTCCGACCGTTGTTATTGAGCTGATCTGGCCCATGCCTCCCAATCACTCCAGACTAGGTGTCAGCATCATGACCAACTCGAGCATTGAAGTCACCCAACAAGATGACTCTATCCCGAGGGGCCACTTTAGCTAGCACCTGGGACAGGAAGTTATAGAAGGCATCTGACTCATCGGCTTTGCCTGCATCCCTCCGCGGATGTTCGTCTTTGGTGGGGGCATAAGTAACCAGAACCACCACTCTTCGCCTCTGGTTGATGGGAAGGCGAGCCCACACCACCTTCATTAATTTTGTTCATAAGAAGAGCGACTCCCTGTTGTTTGGCAGTCTCCTGCCCCGAGTAGAGGACTGTCCACCCCTCATAGTGGCGGAAGCCAGAGCCGGTCCACCGGACCTCCTGAATACCACAGAGATCCAGGCGGTACCGGTCCAGCTTCCGACAGAGGAGTGGCAGCCTCTCCTCTGCAGTGAGTGTTCGAACATTTCACGCGGCCACCTGCAGTGGTTTTTTTTGTTATTTCTGGAGGAACCCCGAGGGCAAAGATTAAATCTCCTGGCTCCGCCAAATGTTTTTTTCCCCAGAAGACATCATGGACGCCTGTCCCTCCGGGGCCTCCGACACAAGCTTAATTAGATTTATTTTCCGTGGTATCGTGGTAATTTATTTGATGGTGGAGGGATTACCAGCCCCTCGCACCCTTCCAGAGCCCCCATTTGGCCGTTATGGTGGCTACAAACGCCATGAAGGGAATGGCCAATAGAAATTGGCCCTCCCCCCAGGGCACTGCTCCCCACAGCGTGGCCGTCCGGCACCAACGAGGAGGTAGGGGGTTGTTTTTGCCAGACTAGCACACTCACCCACACACTTACTCGTCCACACTCTCATATCTATCAACCCCTTATCGGTGCCAACCTTATTACAGACCAATTCAGACCTCATTGGTCACCCCGTGCCCTTATAAATGTCAACGTTCATGCTACAAAGTCCCATCACAAGGGAGAAACACACACAAATAGACAATTACCACTAGTACACTCACCACTTGTACACTCAATAGACAAAACAAAGTTGTCCATATAGAAACGGCTGTACGCCGTATGGACCTGAAAGCTCAATTTCCCTGTGCAAAGAATACGGGGTAAACCGTATTGGTTGACAGCGATGTTAATACGCGTATGTGTGTAACGCCAATCCACTGCTGGATGAAGGGCCTTCCTCACGCCGTTGCGGGTCTTGTTTGACTATACTTCACCACGCCGGTCAGTGCTGGTTGGTGAACGCGGGGAGCATAGATGTGGCAACCATATGGGTTGTGCTGCAGTGTGTCACTGCATATGCAGGGGTGTATTTGTGTGCATCATGAATGCCTGTGAGTACTGTATGCGATGTTTGTGTACCGTACTTATTTTGTACACAGTATACATGTGTGCAAAAGTTACATTTGCATTGTGAATGCAATCTTAATGTCCGTGTATATTTGTACGCATATGGAAACTTCTATATAAACAAAGGCAAAGATCGCATGTATAGCCTTTAGCAGACTGTTGGGGCAAGTGCTGTCGGCATTAGCCAATGAACAATATAATTACAATTTTACATCGCGTCTTTAATGTCATTGCCTCTCACAACGCTTACGCTCCGAAAATAAGACTATAGGGGGGGGTGGGTGACCAACACCACGCCCGGCCGCCTTTGTATCCCCAGTGCTGATGTTTAATCATCACACCAGGTACTCATTTATGGTTGTGTCGATCTAGGGGAGGCCCAGGACCGGTCAAGTATTCGCCACTGTGATTGGGTCGTGAGCGGGAATTGAACTCAGGTGGTCAGGTTCATAGCGCAGCGTGCTTACCACTACTGCCCCACCGCTCTCCACTATATATATGGACTGAATATATACACACACACACGCATGCAAAGAAATGGTTGATTTTTTATTATTATTTTGAAACATAAATCTTTGTACCGGTGGCTGCATCACGGGCAGAGGAGTCAAGGATGGAATGCACGGGGCAAAGAGAAAGGAACGGGAGAGTGCAGAGACAGGAAGGGGAATACGAGGAAGAGGATTGGAAAAGAAGTGGAGAAACAGGAGCACAGGGTGAGGAGAGGTGAGGAGAGGCGAGGAGGTAGAGGCTGCATCAGGGTCTCGACTCTGCTGCTGTGCTGCACATAGGAGGAGGAGCGGAGTGTGTTTTCACAGTGGGCGGGGTATCAGAGTAGGGGTGGCCTCACATGAGTCACGTGGTGTACTGGAGGCTTTAGCTAATAGATGTAGAGGTGCGAGGATGAAGGGATTCAGAATGGGGGTGGCCACGCACAGGAGGCGCGTGGTTTACTGGAGGCTTGAGTTCGGCGTAGAGAGAGATGTAGAGAGAGGTGGATAGCCGCCTTCAATTGCTGGCCGAGGTTCGCGCACTCTGTCGCGTTCTCCACTCGTGCCGGTTATTCGGCGAGCCCATCGAGCCGACTCTCGGCCAGGAATCAGAACAATGGGACGCGGATCAACAGGTAACAGTGACATCAAAACTCAAACAAATCTCATCGTGCGTGAAGAGGTGGGGGGGTGAAGCTTGGAAATGCTGCCGGAGCAAGGTCAGGGGACGTCCGGCGAAAATTCGAGACTTCACATCGACATGCTGAGACTGTCAACACAGCTTGCTAATTCATAATCAACGTTTTTGGGTTTAGATCGCGTTATTTATAAATGTGTCGTAACCCTCCACCACCCGACACGGCCAATCAGTAAAAAAGTGTCACGTTGATAAAAGACAAAATAGTTCACTGCTTTAGCCCACCGGTGTGTTGAAGCGTGAAACCACAACATTTACAATTTGAGTACGACGTTTCGCCGGTAATTGCATCCAGCATCATCGGTCAATTCGCGAAAGCCTACGTGTTAAACTGACAGCTTGCTAAACTAACTTTTTTATTTAACCAGGTAAGGCCCCCACTGTGCTGTGTAGATTTTCTTTTTTCAGAAGCGACGTGGCCACGAATTATAGCCCCAGTGAAGTGGCTTATCATGTGGAAATTTATAGCAGCCAAATACTCGAAGCGCATGTTTATTATAACTACGGAGGGAAAAACCCAGAGAAAAATCCACACGACTATAGGGAGAGAGAGAGAGAGACACGCAAACTCCAAATATACCACAGGCATCAGGATCGCATCCACGACCTCCTGTATACCAGGCGAGGTAGTTAACATCTTCTAGCCACCGTGATGATGATGAGAGACACGCAAACTCCAAATATACAGCAGCAGGCGTCAGGGTTGAATCCACGACTTCCTGTATACCAGGCGAGGTAGTTAACATCTCGTATCCCGCCCGGGCACCAGTGGCCAAGGCTCAGGCGGGAGCGGCAGTCCATGCAGGGGCAGTGCGCCCGACGGGACGTCCGCCGCGGAGATGGAGCGATGGGGATCGGCTCGTGGACGACTCCCGGGGGTTGTTGTTGCATCGTGGGACCGCGGAGTATGCAGTGGATAGAGCACGGCCGATGACGGAACGCACGTCATTTTGTATGCGTGATGCGTTTGTATGTTGTTGCACGTGTGCACGTGTGCGCGTGTGCGTGTGGGGAAGCGGCCTCGTGGCGGTTAACGCCTCGAATGAGAGGCCCAGTGTGGTGTGTGTAAAATGTCACTAAGAGGGAGACAAAAGCGGCCGGGCGTGGTGCTGGCCACCCACCCCTTCGTGTGCCGTTCGGGCCTTCACAGGGTGCTACTCGATAACATACCACTCTGTTCAAGGCTATCCGGGGGATATTTGTGTCACGTGTGCCGTACGCTACGTGCGCATGCGTGCCCGTGTGCACGGTTCGCGTTGTGACGTGAGTGTACTGTTGTAGGAAGGGCCCTCCTCATGACACAGCTGGTGTCTCGGTGGTGAAGGCGCAGCCCTGCAATTGCCAGCTCACGCCCACCGCTGGCGGAAGCTACAGAGGGCCCCTCTAGAGGGCAATCGGCCGAAACCCTCCCACGCTGGCAGAACGTCTCGGAGGAGATGTTCTTACCCAGCTTGACCTCACCACACGTGACCTGCCCATCGAGTTAACTGCGGTTGAACCCACCCGTGACGAGCTGGTGTGGTGGACAGAGGCGGTGCGGTGGGTGGGGGGGGGCTTAAGAAAGTTAAGAAAGTCGCTCCCACCGTTTCAGCTGCTGCGCCGGGAGGTTGAATCGAACCGGCGCACTCACCGCTACACCGCCACTGTGGCATCGTCCCCGGCGGAGTGTGCGCGTGCGTTGAACTTCTTTCGCACCGCGCTCGATGGGAAGTGCGGATGACGTGTGTGAAATAGGTGCACGAATGAAATATTAAACTGATTCATGGATAAGTCATCAACAATACAACCTCAGGCATTGATTTATTGATGAAGTTTGCACTTTATAGAGTAAAGGGGGGGGGGGGGCATCTTGTCGCCTTATAACCGGTGATATTCTCCCCAATAATTCTTGGATGTTGGGCCTTCAAAAGTGAACATCAAATGCCATCAACTCATGCAACAAAGTGGCTTTGAATATGGACAGAGTTAATTTCGTTTTTCCCCCTCGCACTTTTAGTTTTTTTTTTCTCCCAACGTGACCCAAAACAATTGCAGCTACTCCGTTTTCTGATAAAATAATAAAAAGTAAATATCAACAATAATAATAATAATACAGGTCTCATTAAATTGTACATTTATACTCGGGGAGTCTCTGAACAGTCCTCTTGATCCACTGGCATCAAAATCTCTCCGTCCGTGGACGCCGCTATTCTACACAAGCCACATCGTTTGATCGACGTCTTCTCCCCCAACCATTATATTAACCTCTCTCTTTATTTCAACGGCGCTTTGTCCACCTGGCCGCCGCCACTGCCGCCAGCGCTATCCAACTTGCAGGCGAAGTGCAAAACGCATCTCCGGGCCAGGTCACGTCCCACAAAACTAGTGGCGGCGGCGGTGGCGAGACCGCGAGTCGCTCCGCGGTTCACCCGGCCCGGAGGAATGAGACGAAAAAAAAGAATCTCAGCCAGGAAACTATCTCCCGTTCATGATGATCACCGACGTCCCGTTCAGCTGCAGGTGTCCGTGGTGGCCGTGATGAATCCCGGCGGCGTCGAAGGCCGTCCTCTCGCCGTACCCCGACAGCGAGAACCCGCCGGTCTTCCCGTCCGCCGCACCGCCGCCCCCGCCGGCGAGAGTCCCGGGGGCGCCGCCCGCGACGACGCCGGCGGCGCCGTAGCAAGCGTGCCTCGAGGCGGCGCCGTAGCCCGAGTAGGCGCACGGGGAATGCTCCGCTTCCCCCGCGACGTCGGCCGGCGAGCCGCGGTCGTGCCGGGCGGCCGCGTCGCCGGGCACGCCGCGGTGGAACCGCGCGCTGAGCTCCGGCGGCGAGCCGTGGCGGTCGGCGTCGCCCGCCGACCCGTCGTACGCCGCCGGCTTGAAGTCGCGGCCGTAGAGGCCGCCGCCGCCACCCGCCGCGGACTTGCCGTAGGCGAGCGTCTGCGGAGGGGAGTGGGTCGACGGTTGGATTCGCGAGTAGTCCAGCACGGTTTGCGAGGAGCTGTGCTGCTGCTGCTGTTGCTGATGGTGGTGGTGATGGTTCTGCTGCTGTTGTTGTTGTTGCTGGTGGTGGTGATGCCTTTGAGCCTGCTGCTGCTGCTGTTGATGATGATGATGGTTCGTGGGCGGTGAACAGCTGGCGTAGGTATTTCCGTTACCGCCGCCACCTCCTCCGTGAGATCCCTCCAGCGACGACGTCGATGAGGGGCTCGGGAATTTGGCGACAGACGAAGACGTCTTCTTGGAAGGAGCCAGGCGCCTCTGCTCCTCCTCCTTAATCATCTGTTGCGTCGCTTGGATGAGAGATTCAATGCGACTCGGTTGCTGCTGCTGCTGCTGATGCTGCTGCTGCTGATGATGATACACCTCGGTCGTGTAATCGTCCGCCAAGCCGAGCCCAGCGTGGTCCACCCCACGCCACCCGTTGCTTCCTGTAACCAGCAGCACGATTGCGCGACGAGTTAAGAGACTTGTGTTGGAATCGGGTTCTCCACTGAGACTGGAGGAAGCCGATGCACTACGTTATGGGGGGGGGGGTGGGGGGGGCATCACAATCTGGCCCGGTGGCTCTGTGTAAGAGCGAGTGGCTCACAATCAGAAGGTTGTTGAGTTAAACTCCTGGTTGGGGGGGGGGGGGGATTGACTCATCCAATAATCCCTCCAGGGTTTATAAAATGAGTACCGCGCTGGACTCGCCAGGAGGAGGAACCACAGATGAGCGGGGAGGCAGCAGCAGCCACGTGGTGAGCCCACCCAAGCTCTGTGGTCCTCTATATATGAAGTTGTTCTTGGCCAATTAATGCGTGTTTGCATGCGGGAGGAAACCGGAGCACTCGGATAAAACATACGTGTACGAGTGGAGAAGATGAGGGTCATTGACGATCGTGATGGTGGTGACAATCACGACAATGATGATGATGGCGACGATGGTGACGATGATGATTGTGACGATGATTGTGACTGATGGTGATGATGATTGTGATGATGGTGACATTCTATGGGGACCTCATTTGCCAGTAAAAATATGATAATTGGTTTTTTACCCTTCTATCTGGCAACAAAACTGACACCTTTTTGCATGGAGTCATGTTTGCATAGACCGCAATACCTGCAGTCATAATACAAACAAAAGAACATAACTCTGATAATGTGCACTGTCCTTGAAGTTGATTGGTCCACACCCGAGACAGCTTTCCTTCGAGCCTAGTCTCATATGGGTTGGACCAGATGACGCCAAAAGGCGCACGACAGTGCACATTATCAGAGTTATGTTCTTTTGTTTGTATTATGACTGCAGGTATTGCGGTCTATGCAAACATGACTCCTTGCAAAAAGGTGTCAGTTTTGTTGCCAGATAGAAGGGTAAAAAACCAATTATGATGGTGACATTGATGGTGACAATGATTGTGATGATGATGGTGACGATGATTGTGACGATGATGGTGATTATGATTGTGACGATAATGGTGATGATGATTGTGACATTGATGGTGATGATGATTGTGATGATGATGGTGACATTGATGGTGACAATGATTGTGATGATGATGGTGACGATGATGGTGACGATGATTGTGACGATGATGGTGATGATGATTGTGACATTGATGGTGACGATGATTGTGACATTGATGGTGATGATGATTGTGATGATGATTGTGACATTGATGGTGACGATGATGGCAATGACGGCGATGCTCTCTCGTACTTACCGTGCGCCGCGTGGAAGGGCATGGCGTGTGGGGGAGGGGCGATGACCCCGCCGCCGCCGCCGTACGAATGCCTCGTGTCCCCGCCGGCGCGCAGCGCGTAAAACCCGGAGCGGACCGCCTGCCACCGGCACTCCGACTCCACGTCGGCCGTCACGCCGGAGGGGGCCGCTGGCACGACCGTGCTGAGCGCAGCGGCCGCGGCGGTCGCGGCGGCGGCGCCGGCTGCCGCGGCCGCCGCCGCCGAGGAGGAGGACGAGGAGGAGGAGGAGGAGGGGCAGTGGTAGCGGCCCTGCTGGCCCAGCGGCCCCCGCAGGGGGCTGGCGTCGTACTGCGGGTAGGAGCCCAGCGCCGGCTCCGACGAGGCGAAGGCCGGGTGCGGGTCCTCGTAGGACAACGAGGAGATGGTGGTGGTGGCCGTGTCGCTGTGGGGACACACACACACATGCACGCGGATGATTTTGAAAATTATGACGGCGATCATTCGGATGATGATGATGAAGATGATGACGGTGACTTAATTACAACTATGATCACAATGACGAACATGGGGATGATGACAGTGACGGTGAACAAAATGATGACGACGACGACGATCATCACGACGATCACAGCGATGACGACCACAGCTATCATAGTCGTCGTTATCCGCAGGACAGCGTCATACATAGCACGGCAATTATTGTCGCCGGCTATCCTGGCACAGGTGGCGCGTGGCTAGCGAGCGGGACACTGGCCGTGGTGGTGTGCGGTGCAGGCGTTGGCGTACGGGTGGGACAGCGTGTAGGTGTGCTGCGTGCTGGCGTAGGCTGCGTCCCGGAACGGCGTGCCGAGGGGCGGAGGAGACTCGGCGCACGACTGCTCCTCCCACTGGCTCTCGCGGTCCGAGTCGCCCCTCTCGGAGTAGAAGGTCGTGTGGTGCGTCTACACGCGCAGAGAGAGACACATACACACACAGATTAAGCTCCGCAGAGTGATGCACCCGCGGGTGGCTGAAAGACCCTCCCTGGATGGGTAGCTGAGTCACGAGTCTTAAGTGGGTGAATGAGTCACATGGGTAGCCGAGTCGAGCATTTGAGTAGGTTGCTGAGTGATGCGTCCGAGTGGGTGGCTGAGTCACATGGGTAGGCGAGTCACACGTCCGAGTGGGTGGCTGAGTCACATGGGTAGCTAGTCACACGTCCGAGTGGGTGGCTGAGTCGCACGGGTAGCTAGTCACACGTCCGAGTGGGTGAATGAGTCGCACGGGTAGCTAGTCACGCGTCCGAGTGGGTGAATGAGTCGCACGGGTAGCTAGTCACACGTCCGAGTGGGTGGTTGAGTCGCACGGGTAGCTAGTCACGCGTCCGAGTGGGTGGCTGAGTCACATGGGTAGCTAGTCACGCGTCCGAGTGGGTGGCTGAGTCACATGGGTAGCTAGTCACGCGTCCGAGTGGGTGAATGAGTCGCACGGGTAGCTAGTCACGCGTCCGAGTGGGTGGCTGAGTCACATGGGTAGCTAGTCACGCGTCCGAGTGGGTGGCTGAGTCACATGGGTAGCTAGTCACGCGTCCGAGTGGGTGAATGAGTCGCACGGGTAGCTAGTCACACGTCCGAGTGGGTGGCTGAGTCGCATGGGTAGCTAGTCACGCGTCCGAGTGGGTGGCTGAGTCGCATGGGTAGCTAGTCACGCGTCCGAGTGGGTGGCTGAGTCGCATGGGTAGCTAGTCACACGTCCGAGTGGGTGGCTGAGTCGCATGGGTAGCTAGTCACGCGTCCGAGTGGGTGGCTGAGTCACATGGGTAGGCGAGTCACACGTCCGAGTGGGTGGCTGAGTCGCATGGGTAGCTAGTCACACGTCCGAGTGGGTGGCTGAGTCGCATGGGTAGCTAGTCACGCGTCCGAGTGGGTGGCTGAGTCGCATGGGTAGCTAGTCACACGAGAAGCAGCAGGAGCTGCTTCGCCCCACCTGTGGGTAGGGCGACGCGCGTGGCTTGCCCCGGTGCTTGGCGGCGCGCCCCTTGGCCGGCCGCCGGCCCTCGGGCTGCTGCTGCTGCTGCTGCGCGTCGGTGCTGGCCAGCTCGCTCGCCACTTTGCGAGCGTGCATCTGCTCCAGGGAGAGCTGCAGGTCCTTGTACTCCACGTCCCTGCTCGCACACACGCACACACACGCACACACGCACACACACGCACACACACACACGCACACACACGCACACACACAACGTCCCGCGCACCTCCGATTAGCACGGTTGGCTACGCACGGTGCGAACAAACACGTCCAAAATGTCGTCTCGAATCTCAACCCAAACGTTGCTTTACACCGACAATGATGATGATGACGATGATGATGGCGATGATGATGATGACTGATGACAATGACGACGATGATGACAATGACGGCGACAGTGACGACGATGAAGACGACAGTGACGACGATGACGACGACAATGACGACGACACGTGAGGGGCTCACGTGAGGACGTAGTTGACGCTGACGATGCAGTGCGGCCGTGACGAGCGGCTGTTGTGCACGATGGTGGCGCAGCTCTGCATCCACACCCAGCCGCCCCGCTTGGCCAGGAAGCGGTAGTACTTGGTGGTCACCTGGCCCTTCACCAGCACTGAGCAGCACGCGGACGGGCAACGCACACGCACGCGACGTCACGATCATCGTCCACCATCTCCACCCACGTCACAGCCTCGCCCGCCACGGACGCGTCACAGCCTCGCCCGCCAGGGACACAATCTTGTATGCTACACGTAGGGGGGGCGATGATTGCTGTTGTGCGGTCTAGCCTAGGGGCACCCCCAGTGGCAGCTGTCCCCGTGCGGTGCTCACGCAGGTGGTGGGCGTAGCGCAGGTGGAACACGTCACAGCCGTGCACGTGGTGGTACAGCGTCTTCTCGATGAGGTCCTGCGGCTCGTAGCCCGTGAGCGCCGACACCCTGGCAACACAGCGGCGGGTTGCCATCGTCATCGTCAGTAACGTCATCAACGGCAGTGACGTCATCGTCGACAGTGACAACATCATGAACATCAGTACTGATGAATTTCGATTTAAAGCTTTCGTGACTCCAGGGATTAATCTTCTTGGTTCTTTCGGTAAAGTCACGTAGAAGGGAAATAATAAAGTAATACAAATTAAACATAATAAAATACAATTAGTATTTTATTATGTACAATTGTATTTTATTATTTTTATTATTTTATTATTTCCCTTCTACGTGACTTTACCGAAAGAACCAAGAAAATCAGTACTGATAATAGGAATCTTATCATCATCGGAAGCATCGTCGTCATCTTCTTTGGTAAAAATATTATCATCATCGTTATCACCATCGTCGTCAATGGGCATCAACAGCATCAGCAATAATGATTCATAATAATCGCATCATTACAGTTGTGAATAATCTCACCATCATCAATAATCATCTCATCGTCATCAACAGCACCAGCGTCAAAGTCATCGCTGTGTGTGCACGAATCGCTTGCCAACATCGTTATCATCATCGTTATCAACGTTAACATCATTGTTATCATCGGCATCATCATCAACATCACAATTATCATCATCAGTAGCAGCAGCAGCAAGGGCATCGTCAATAATTATCATGCGTCGCTTGTCATCAGTAATGTCAGAGAGATCTCACCACCACCAATATCGCCTTCATTAACAAAATGTCATTAAATTAAATGATCCCAGTTGCCACGATTATTATCAACAGTTGCAGTGATAAAATTCGTAATCGTAGATGACAACCATCGCAGTCTCCAGGTATAGCGATGGTGTGGGGAGGCCGCCATCCAGCAGTGGATTGATCATGGCCGATGGATAAATTTGCCATCATTTGAACTATTAAATGTATCATGACAGTTGTATTCATCATCAACAGTAATTCATAACCAGTCATGAACAACATCATTTCACTTTCCATCATCATCTAAATTAACGTTCACCAGAAATCAAATTGCATCATCGTTCAAATACACCATCGTCTCTAGAATGACAACTCCTCGTGTCTTTGAATGTACGCATGTTGAACTTCTTCCGCACCAACCGCGCTAATCGGAGGTCTTTCACACGACAGGTAAGGGCGCAGCCCCTGCAAGCAGTGCCGGATTATCCCAGTAGCACAAGTAGCTGCACATGTAGTAGCTACACAAGTAGTAGCTACTGCACGTGTAGTAGCTACACAAGTAGCTGCACAAGTAGCTGCACCACAAGTAGTAGCTGCATATGTAGCTACGGGCCCACACTTTCAAGGGCCCCACACTTTCAAGGGCCCCGCGCAAAATGATTTCAAGCTATCAATTCCGATTCAGTGATTCTGCACTTGCTCTACTACTATAGTAATGTACCGCCTTCATCTTTTACGAACGACTGGCAGTTTAAGGTTAGCGATTTGTCGTATTATCTGGCTGTATAGCAAATAAAAACAAGTACAATTACTTTACTGTGCGAGTTAAAAGTTAGTGTTTTAATATGTGCGTGTTGTTTTTATTTAGGGCCCCTTTATAACAAATGCCACAGAGGCCCTGCACGAGCTTCATCTGGCACTGCCGCCTGCAGTGGCTCGCCCACGCCACTGCCGGCAGAAGCGTCTCCTCCACCCGACGGAGCTGGACGAGGTTGCCTTCCCCGGGGCACAATGGGCCTCCTCTTCCACGCTCGCCCGACGTTTCGGAAGAGGTCTATAATTGGCGTAGCAACAAACAAAAAAAACGACCCAAAGCGTGCAATTTTAACTATAAATCGTGGGCGACGAGAATTTTAGAAGTTTACCAAACGTCGCTGCCGGCCTCATTTCCACCGCCTCGATTCACGAAGTCACGTCCCGGCAATTAACCGGGGCGTGGGCGGCCTCGCGAGCGATGATGAATCGTGCAACGTTCGAGAGGCTGGCTGACATCACCCCACCCTCCCCCACCGATTAGCACGGTTGCGCTACGTACGGTGCGAAAAAAGTTCAACACACACGTGCGTACGTTCACATTGCCAGTTGCGCTGCTCTCGCCACAGCACAGAGGGGGTGCTTTGAGAGGTTTGAGTGGCAAGGCGGTTTTTGCCCGGCCACTCGAACCCGACGTGATGGGTTTGTGCAACACCGAGCGGCTGACTCTCGTTAAGACGTCAACGTTCGGCGAGCCACGTGGAGCCACGCGCAGCACGCACGGACATCAACACACCCCGCCTGTCCCACCCCCACCGCGCCACCCACACACGGCTGTGGGGGGAGGGGGGTACGTGGACGTGGGGTATTTATTTATTGTTTAAACTATGGACCGTGCAAGTAAACCCATTTAGACCCACAGAGGCACATAGAGACCCATAGAGATACATAGAGACCCATAGAGATGCATAGATACCCATAGAGATATAGAGACCCATAGAGATACATGGAGACCCATAGAGACCCATCGAAGTACAAAGAGACCCATATACGTACATAGACACCCATAGGAGATGCATAGAGACCCATAGAGGTACATAGAGACCGACATGAGATACATCATCATGCAAGTCCGTCCCCAAGGACAATGGACCTCTCCTTGCATCGGCAGGCAGGCATCGTTCGTAGTCTCACGTGGTCGTTGCGTTTGATTGCTCCGAGTTCGCTTGTGACGAACAAGACCGCCGTTTGAGCGACACACCTTGCCGTGTAGACCGCACGCACGGTGGGCCGAGTGTAACTCCTGAGATGTAGATGCGCCGGTTGACACACTGACCACTTCTAGCCCCACGTCTCCTGGCTCAGAGATACGTAGAGACCCATAGAGATACATAGAGACCCATTGACACTCAGATGCATAGAGATACCTATAGAGATACTTTAAAGGCAGGCCACAGTAGCAGTGGGACTGTGGCCATGCACCCCACGCTATGGACCGTGCAGTAAACCCAGAGACACATGGAGATACATAGAGACCCACTGACACTCATAGAGATGCATAGAGATACCCATAGAGATACTTTAAAGACAGGCCACAGTAGCAGTGCGACTGTGGCCATGCACCCCACGCTATGGACCGTGCAGTAAACCCAGAGACACATGGAGATACATAGAGACCCACTGACACTCATAGAGATGCATAGAGATACCCATAGAGATGCTTTAAAGACAGGCCACAGCAGCAGTGCGACTGTGGCCATGCACCCCACGCTACGGGCTGCGCAGTGAACACCGCTGTGGTCGTCTGCGCTCCTTCAACGGAGGAGGAGCAGGAACAGCGACACGACACGAACTCTCTCCCTGCTGAAGCCCTCTCGTCGTGGCCTGCAGCAGCAGCAGATCTCGACATTGGCATCTGGCTCCTGAACATCTTGCTGCTGCTGCTGCTGGCACCATGCATGTACGAGTAGAATAGAAAATGTCACGACCCAGCTGCACTTGCGTACAATCATCTTCACCCAGTCGCGTAAACACCACCACCACCACCGCTACCGCCATCCCACGCACGAGTCTGGATAGGCGAATTGTTTTTGAATGACCCCCGCCGTGTCGCCTGTAACAGACTGTTGGGGCGAGTTCTGTTCGCGAGTAGCAGCACCTATGAAGGCTGGCACGACACACGAGGGGGATGAGTTGGCCAGCACCACGCCCAACCGCCTTTGCCTTCCTTGTGGCGTACCAGATACTCATTTGAGTTGACCAAGTCGAGGTCCAGGACCGGTTCGGATAATCGTCGCCAGAGTTGGTGGCCGTGAGCGGGAATCGAACTCGGGTCGCCGGGTTCGTAGCGCAGCGTAGCGCTACAAAATCACGCGAACTCCAGACATCCTCACCGCATCGCGCGCTTTCAGATGCGCTTCTGCGGCCGTCTGGAACGTTCTTCCTTCCGATATTGGGAAGCCACTGGAAATCTTCGCACTTTTAAATCCCCGAGGTTGAAAACTCGTTTCTTGAGAACCGCTTTGTAGCACAGCTTAGTTTGTTGTCCTTGCCCCGCGCCTCCGCTTGGCGCGGTTGACTACGCACGGTGCGAGAGAAGTCTACAACCTGGACGTGCATACATCCTCCTCCTCCCCAGCCCCTGGTACAGACGGACGGAGCGAGACGCATCGGCGCTCCGAGCCTCGTCGTTGGCGAGCGTTGATAATGGACGGGGGGGGGGAGGTTGTTGAGAGGGGGGGGGGGGAACCCACAAGGAAGCGTTTTCTCATTCCCAGAAACATTTTGGTCGCCGTAGCTTCCTCGCGACACTACCGTGTTTACGTCATCTTGTTGATTTGGCGGTGCCAGATTTTTTAATTCCGCCCGCCTCTTGTTTGTTTTTCTCTCCCGTTGGCGAGCGTCAATTCGCTGCCCTGTTTAGTGGCGGTAACATTCCCCCCCCCCTCCACCAAGATGTTCGGCTGATGCGTCACATCTTGGTGTAACCGCGTCGACTCGCTAATGGCGCGTGCGGGAACGAGCACAGACGGGCAGGGAGAGGCGTGCACAGGCGGACAGAAAGGCGGGCACAGGCGGACAGAGGTGAGGCGCGCACAGGCAGACAGAGGTGAGGCGCGCACAGGCGGACAGAGGTGAGGCGCGCACAGGCGGACAGAGGTGAGGCGCGCACAGGCGGACAGAGGTGAGGCGCGCACAGGCAGACAGAAAGGCGTGCACAGGCGGTCAGAGAGGCACGCACAGGCGGACAGAGAGGCACGCACAGGTGGACAGAGGTGAGGCGCGCACAGGCGGACAGAGAGGCACACACAGGCGGACAAGGAAACACAGAGGCAGATCGAGAACTAAATGAATGGAGAAAAAAAAACCAGGCAGACAATTAGATAGACACGCAGATAAATGGACATGTGGAGTGATGGTGGTGCTGCTGATGGTGCTGGTGGTGCTGGTGGTGGTGCTGGTGGTTCTGGAACAGAGATTTTAACAGCTGGGTTTGATATTTCACTGACAGATTCAGCATCCTCAGGCAGGTGTCAGGTATGGGATCTTGGAAATTTTGAGAGTAAGCAAGGATTACACTCGAAGCTAAAGTGCACACAGATGTACACAAAAAAACTACCCCCTGTAGCCTTAACAGACTGTCAGCGAGGGGGTGGGTGGCCAGCACCACACCCAGCCGCCTTCGTCTCCCTAGTGCCGATGTTTACACACAGGCACTCATTTGAGGCCGAGTCGACCTAGGGGAGGCCCTGAACAGATTTAGAAAATCGTCACTCGTGTTGGCCATGAGCAGGAATCGAACTCGTGTTGTCTGGTTCGTAGCGCAGCGTGCTAACCACTACACTACCGCTCCCCACACACACACACACGGCACGTATGTACACACAACACGTGCATGCAATATGTGTGACATTAAACATGGTCATCGACTTAAAAAGATCCAGAATCTTTGACAGCTGCAGCAGCACCGCACGCTGCTGGCAGTGGCGCGTTCCTGGACAGCGATCCGCGCAACTTCTTAACAATGGAGAAATCCGATGAGCTATGAAGCCCTTTCTCACACATGTCCAGTAGGGTCAGAAAGTTCCAGTAGCAGCAGCATCATCATCATCGCCAAATGAACCCATGAGAAACCCATAACCACACGAACGCGGCGCTCGCGAGCGCGCTCTTACCGCTCTCACCGCTCGCTCACCGCTCCCACCGCTCGCTCACCACTCACACCGCTCCCACCGCTCGCTCACCACTCCCACCGCTCGCTCACTGCTCCCACCGCTCGCTCACCACTCCCACCGCTCGCTCACTGCTCACACCGCTCGCGAGTCGAGCGCTCACCGCGAGTCGAGGAAGATGAGTTTCATGTCGAGCGAGGCACGGAACATGAACATGTTGGTGTGCAGCTTGATCTCGGTGATGGCGCTGGGGGGCAGCGAGTGGCCCACGGCCACCAGGCCGACGTTCTGGTAGCACGCCTCGAACGGAGAGACGTCGAGGGCACACGGACGCACCTTCAGGTAGCCGCTGCAGTGGATCACCTGCCGGGCATGGGGGGGGAGGGATGAGCGTTGAGCGTATCGGGGCTGCTGTGGCGAGCAGCTGATACGGCAGAAAGCAGGGCACGAGGTTCGGAGTCCATGCTGATGGCGTTCCGGGTTTTTTTTTCCAGGGCCGCATTGTTACGATTTGTAATTGTCAAAAACAAAAAAGATTTGTAAAAGTGCCGTGGCCTGGCAAGGAGAAGTTTGACGAGTAATCGGTCAACGTGTCTAGGTCATGCCTCTTCTTCTTCTCCTCATAGCACGTGGGGTGTGAGGGGCTGGAGAGGGGAGGGGAAACGAAGGTGGAGGCCGCTACAATTTCCCACGTGATGATGATGATAAGGCGCTAAGGTGAGCTGTCATTTGTGGCCAGGTCGCTTCTGAAAGAGAGCTGTATAGTACAGTGGGCCTCATCTGTAAAAATACAAAATAGTTTTAGCTCATAGCTCGGAGGAATCGCGCCGGAGGTGGTGGGTTCGATCCCGGACCCTGGCGATGCTGCTGCTGTTGTAATTCTGGAGTCCGCGTGTTCGCTCTCTCTCTCCGTGGTGGTCCCAGCGCGGATCTTTCTCCGGGTTCTCCCTCCTCCACCTCCACACTGAGAATCAATGCGCGCTCAGATTCTCTGGCCGCGACCTCGCATTTCCGTACGCGTGGCGATGATGAAATCAACCACGACGACGATGATTAGTGATCCTCAAGCGGTTTTGCGCACCCCCCTTCTCCACATCGAGAATGAACGCGCGCTCGGATGATCTTGCCGCTACTATAAATTCCCACGTGCGGTGATGACGACGACGATGATATCGACCGCTGCGATGATGAGGCATCATCACGTGTGGCCAAGTCGCTTCCGAACGAGAGCTAAAGAACTAACAGCTTAGAGGGCGTTAATGTCCTTTGAGATTTTACGAGAAGCGCTCCCTAAATCTGTCGTAAATATTATTTAATATTTATTACAATTATTCTAATTATCATAATTATTTCTACCCTGGGAAAATAAAGCAGTTGTTTTTGTTGTTGTTTGGCGACCGTCACCATAACTGCAAGCCGTGCCATCGAGTGCCATCGAGTGCCTCTCCCTTACGGAGGTGACCCGAGGTGCTGTCGTATTTTTAGTCGCTCGTCCTTCCACCCCGCGCCTCCGATGAGCACGGCCGGCCACGTACGGCGCAAAAGAAAGATGCGGCGTGCGGTTACGTAACCAGGAGCCGGGTAAACCAGGTGGCTCTGCCCGACCACGTGCGGGAGGAGCGTCGCTGGTGACCGCTCATGACAGCGGCACCCCGGGGGGGTTGTTCACCTTGTATCCTCCGCACGTGAGCCCCGCGTTCCGCTTGGCCAGGACGCACTTCATGCGCAGGAAAAACGATCGCTCGATCTCGAGCTCCGCTGGAGGAGGACGGAGAGGGTGGTGGGTGGGGAGGGAGTGGAGAGGGGTGTGTGAGCAGCTGGTAAAGGGGCAGCCCCTGCAACTGCCCGCCTATGCCCCCCCCTCTCCGTCTCTCCGTCTCGAGACAGCCTGAGTAAAGCGTTCGTCCAGCAGTGGATCGATCGTGGCTGACGATGACGATTAACGTACCGTAACAACTAATAATAATAATTATTTATTTGATGCCATCACGTGAGTTAACATCCAATACAAATTTACGTCACAACATCAATTGTGGAAGTAATTAATGTAAGTCATTAATGAACACCCTCATTCACTTGGCATTATCATCTGGAAAAAAAATCACGTTAAATCAAATCGCATCATCATCATCATCATTCAAATACAATATCGTCCTTAGAATGATAAGCAACTGCTAACGTCATCCGCAAAATTGGCAAAGGCACAGGCCTGCTATTGCCCGCTCACGCCACCGCTGTCGGAAGAGCCTTCCACTGGAGGGAGATCTGGAGATACCCGCGATTGGGTACTTGGCCTTCTCTTCCCTGCCAGCAAGATGTCTTGGAGAAGGCGACAGTACCCACACTTCACCCCACGGCGCGCAATCCGACGCACGCCACGAGCGACCCCGTTTCGACTGCCACACCCGGGAGATGGAACCAGGGGGGAGTCTTCAGCGCACCGCACAGCGCCACCAACCCCAGCCACCCGGACATCTGAAGCGGTCTCGGGGCATCCGCTAGCTCCACTCGGCCTCAAACGGCGCTCCTGGCGCGGTGTCCCACCGTCACCCTCTCACCTTGCACGAAGTTGGAGTGGAAGGGCTGGTGGAAGGTCAGCACGGCCGTCATCTCGTCGTGATCGGCCGGGTGGATGTACTCAAAAATACTGTTCCCTGTCAATTCTACCTACACACACAGAGCGGGGCGGGCGGGTGGCACGGTCAGAGGCGGCGGCGGCGGGGGGACAGAGCCCCCCCCCCCTCCCTGGGAGAGGACTCCCCAGACCCCCCACCCCAGAGCCCCATGCCCACCACATTCACCCGCTGGGTCACTGGCACCGCACACCTGGATACCACCGACGTGACACAGAGAGAGAGATGTACACACAGGTTAGACACACGGGCAGAGAGACGGAGGGATTAGCAGAGAGTCGGACAGACAGGTTCATATTTAGACAGACAGGCAGGTGGATAGACAAACAGACAGACAGGTTGATGTACAGACAGAGCGACAGGTGGATATAGAGACAGATATAGAGGCCTGTGTATAGATGGACAGGCAGGCAGATGGATAGACAGACAGGCACACAAGCGAGCACACTGACAGGCGGATTAGCAGGTAGACACAGACGATCAGATGGACTGACAGGCAGACAGGTAGAGAGGGAGAGAGACACAGAGAGAGACGTAATCGCGTGAAGACGCACCGCAGGTACCGGGACCGAGGCACGGGAGGAACGCGGACAAGCCGGGCGAGGCAACGCGTCGACGCCCGAGTGTCTTATTGGGGACGCGAGCCGGCCGGCTCCCTCGGCGTTCTGGGCGACGGCGAATGGACGACGCGGAGCATCTTACCTGAGAGAGGCCCAGGTGGACCGATGCCGTCTCCGAGATGTACATGATCTTGCCGTCCGGAGCCACCACGAATATGAATCCGTCCAGCGTCTGTCCACCGACGAGACGCACCGAGAGCATTTGCGACCCGCGCAGCGTTTGTTTACGCGAAGTGAGCGAAACTCGCGTGCGCACCTAGCCTGGCACAAGCGCCGTGGCGGCGGCGGCACTGCCACTTAAATGGCGAGCGGCGGTTGTGGTTGTTGTTGTTGTTGTGGTGGTGGTGCAGCTACAAACCCCTCCTCTGCATCAGGTGGAAGGTTTTACGACACAACGTTTTACTCACGCGGCGAACCGACACACCCCCTGTTATTACACTTTTGTAATTGGTTAGTGTCTACATTACACGAGACACGCTTACATCGGTAGCATTCACTTCACATTTACTCCGGTAAATTGTAACGCGAGTGCGTTCTTGGCCACGTCTCAATGCTTTTGTTTGCTTGGTTTCACGGTGCGCGTGTGTGTGTGTGCGTGCGCGTGTGTGTGCGCGTGTGTGTCTGTGCGTGTGTGTGCGTGTGTGCGTGTGTGTGTGTGTGCGCGTGCGTGCGTGTGTGCGTGTGTGTGTGTGCGCGTGTGCGCGTGCGTGTGTGCGCGCGTGCGTGTGTGCGCGCGTGCGTGTGTGTGCGCGTGCGCGTGTGTGTGCGCGTGTGTGTGTGTGTGCGTGTGTGTGTGTGCGCGTGTGTGTGTGTGTGCGTGTGTGCGCGTGTGCGCTTGCGTGCGTTGACCTGCAGCAGATGTGAACCCAGCTCCCGGCCCACATTGTCAAGGGCACTGCTCCGGGCAGTGTGACCCCACGCCTCACCCAGACCTGACAGCGCACACACACACAAAAACAAAGACAACGGTAAAGATCCCCCGTGTAGCTTCAACAGACTGTCGGGGCAAGAGCTGTTAGCGAGCAGCACCTATGAAGGCCGTCACGGCGCACGCGGGGGCGGGTGGCCAACAACACGCCCGGCCGCCTTTGTCTCCCTCGTGAAGATGTTTACTACACACCGCACCAAGTACTCAGGACTAGTTCAGATAATCGTCATTGGTGGAATCGAACTCGGGTGGCCGGGTTCGTAGCGCAGAGCACTAACCTGCTACACTACCGCTCCCCACACACACACGGACACACAAAGACAAAGATCCCCCATGTAGCCTTCTTTTATTATTGCCCCAAAATAAATAAGAAATTGGGAGTGGTGGGGGTGGGAGAATAATAAAATATGGCTACACACGAGAGAGACGGCGCACGCAAGTGGACATCACAGAGCCAAATCTGAGACGTCACTTTTTCAAGTCACACCTTAGGTCCATATGCGTTGTAGGGTAGAGGGATGGCCAACACCTTCCACCCGCGCTACGCAATACGAGAGCAATGGTTTCACTCTCAAGAGCTGCCATTCGGCCACATTAAGCACAACAAACATATTCACAACTCACTGCGCTTTCGACCTCGGTTTACAATCTCAGGTGGCTTTCTGGATTCGAACCCAAGGGTCCGCAGTGGTGCAAGCCGTGCGCTCTGGTCTCCGAGCCGCGTGGTCACCTCGTGTCAGCCCACGCTGTCTGATTGAGTTGCTTCGAGCGCTGGGAGCGGGGCACGCTGCACATGTCGGCACAGCGCACAGAGGAGTGGTTATCGCTCGCAAACCACGACCTGGAAGCTGGTGTCTTCCAAATCCTGATGTCCACACACCACACGAGGTACTCATCGAAGGCCGAGTCGATCTAGGGGAGGCCCTGGGCTAATTCGGATTTTACCCGACATTGATGTTGGCTGTGACCGGGTATAGAATTTGGGCCACCGGGTTCGTAGTGCAGAGAACTAACCACTATGCTACCGATCTCCACACATGCACCTACAAGCGGCCTCGTGCACGAATACAAAGACAAGACAAAGATCCTCCGTATAGCCTTAACAGACTGTTGGGGAAAGTGCTGTTTGCGAGTAGCAGCCCGCCAGCCCTTATGAAGGCCGGCACGGCGCGCGAGGCGGTGGGTGGCCAGCACCACGCCCGGCCGCATTTGTGTCTGTGTCGAAAGCCTCAAAGTGCACGTAGCCTGGCACAAGCGCCGTCGTGATGTCACCATCGTTGTTGACCAGATTTGTGTAACTTTATTGACACGGGGCCATATGTTTGGTGTGCGTTGTCTTGCTTTCCGGAGATGATAAATTTGTAGGCCACCCCATACCCCTGATCATATGGGGGGGGGGGGGGGGTGGGGGATTGTTTGACCATACTTCACCAAATTGGTCAGTGCGGGTTTTTGAATTTGGTGGGGGGGGGGGGGGCAGCATTATGCGCAGCCCTTGCAATTGCCGGCTCAATCCACTGCTGGCGGAAAGCCCCAGAGATCCCTCGCTCGACACAAATCAAAGTGCCTCCTCGTCCACGGTCAGTAGAACATCTCGGTAGGTGGGTGACCCCCCCCCCCCCCACACACTTGAGCCCACCCTGCACACGCTCAGTAGAACATCTCGGTAGGTGGGTGACCCCCCCCCCCCCCCCACACACTTGAGCCCACCCTGCACACGACGTGCCTGAAATCAGTCCCGCTGTCTGCGGAAATGGACAGAGGCAGGAGTGAGGGGGGGGGGTAGAGGGGCCCGGATATAGGGTGGCAGGGGTGTGGAGGTGTGGGGGGTGGGTGTAGGGTGGCAGGGTTGTGGAGGTGTGGGGGTGGAGGTGAGGTGGGTGTAGGGTGACAAGAGGTGTAGAGGTGTGGGGGTGGAGGGGTCTGGGTATAGGGTGGCAGGGGAGTTGAGGTGTGGGGGGTGGAGGTGGGGTGGGTGTGGGGTGGCAGGGGTGTAGAGGTGTGGGGGTGTAGGGGTGGAGAGGTCTGGGTATAGGGTGGCAGGGTTGTAGAGGTGTGGGGGGGGGTGGAGGGGTCTGGGTGTAGGGTGGCAGGGAAATTGAGGTGTGGGGACAAGTGGCGGTGGGCATTGAACCAACTTCCAAGAGCGTTCTTTCTTTCTTTCAAACCCTGCCCGCTCAGCGGAGCTCGAACCGCGCGGTGCGAAGTTCCCCGCGTCCAAACCCCGTTCTGCCCAAAGAAGCCGCGGGCGGCACTTGATGGTTACGTAATGGGGTGGGTGGGTGTGGAGCGGGGGGGGATGGGGTGAGGCAGCAGGAGGAGGAGACACGCAACGAAGGGGACAGGATGGGCGAGTGGGGGCACATGAGCCCGCATACTGATGCAGAGATTACTGGCGAGGGAAAGTCATTAAGCGGTGTGGTCAGGCACTTTGCAAGCATCGGCCGCTAAACAATAAATCTTAGGGGATGCGCGCCACTGTGGACTTCTCCCTCGACGACGACGACAACCGCCGTTCGCCACTCAGTGGCGGTGACGTCACCGCGGCGCTTGTGCCAGACTAGGTGCACGTTAAGGCCACGTGGCAGTGCCGAACGCCCGCCGGCAGGAGGTCGCGGGGCAGACCCAGCAAGTGCCGTGGGTCGACTGACCGAGATGAGTGGCCGATGCATCACCACCTGCGGCCCCTACTGTGCCAACTTGCTGCGCTTTAGCCACCCGGCGCTCCGCTCGTTGTTCTGAGCGTCGCTCCTCTTGACACAACGCACACACGCACGTGACACCACCAACAACAACAACACCCAATCACACCGTTTGTGTGGGGGGGGCGACGTTTCGGGCAATGGACCCTTCATGGCATCGCTGCCAATGCAAGTTTAGGTCAACACGTGGTGTCCGAAACACCGTGGCCTTTATTTAATTAATACATATGTGATGGACAACTCGGCACCCGTACACAGCACTTGTCAATCCACTGCTGGATGAGGGCCTCCCCACGCCTGCCCGTTGCTGGTCGTCATAGAAGTGCGGTGCAACACTGGATTGATCCGCACTGCCCTCTGCATACCTTTGCGTTCGTACACAAATACACGTGCACGATATAAAAAGGCAAAGGTCCCCCGTATAGCCTTAACAGACTGATTGGGCAAACGCCAATGAATGTCGGCACGGGTGGCCAGCAATGCGGAGCTCTACACGCCGTACCAGGTACTCAGTTCAGGTTGAGTCGACCTAGGGTAGGCCCAGGACCGGTTTAGATAATCGTCACCTGGTGTTGACCGTGAGCGGGAATCGAACTCGGGTGGCTAAGCTCGTAGCGTGGTGCGCCAATCACTGCGCCACCGCTTCCCATACTTAAGACAAAGAACCCAAGTACAGTATAGCCTTAGCAGACTGTATGGGCAAGTGCTGTTAGCGAACACCTATCAAGGCCGGCACGGCACACAAGGGGATGCAGTGGCCAGGACCACGCCCGGCCGCCTTTGTCTCCCCAGTGGCGATGTTTACACACCGCACCGGGTACTCTATTTGAGGCCGAGTAGACCCAGGGGAGGCCCAGGACCCGTTCAGATAATATAATCGTCACCAGTGTTGGCCGTGAGCGGGAATCGAACCCGGGTGGCCTGGGTTCATAGCGCAGTGCGCTAACCGCTACACCACCGCTCCCCACCACACACACACAGACACACACACAGACGCGCACCCTGCCACACACACAGACACACAGACGCGCACCCTGCCACACACAGACACACACACATACGCGCACCCTGCCACACACAGACGCGCGCGTTCATCAAGGAAGACACAGGTACGCCGCGCGTTTTGCTCATTGCATTTAAATGAGAGCTGGGGGTGACCGCCTGTGGCCAAGGCGTGAACATGCGCGGGTGCGACTCGGCGTCTCCCCCCCGCCCGCCCGCCCCGCCGTCTCAACGCGGGCCCGGGGTGAGTACGGAGGGGAGAGAGAGACGAGGGGGGAGGGCGGGTAGGAGAGCATCGGGGTAATCATCACATCAGCATTCTGCGCCACGTGGAGGCGAGTGCTCTACACGTGTAATATTAGAAGAGGGGGGGGGGGGGTATTTGACACACATACATATACACACGGATATTGTATGCATGCATAGAGAGAGAGGAGAGAGAGCGATGGAGAGAGACTGTTACAATGCGTGCACACAAATAGAATACAAACATCACTCCCCCACCAGCCATACGTACGTATGGGGTCTTTGCTGGGAGCAAGTGCTGTTAGCGAGCACCCATTAAGGCAAGAGGGAAGCCCTACGGATGTGAATGGTATCGTGGCATCCATCGAGAGAGATACAAAGACAAAGGTCCCCCGTATAGCCTGAGCAGACTGTTGGGGCAAGCGCTGTTCGCGAGCACTAATGACGGCCGGCATGGTACACGAGGGGGTGGGTGGCCAGCACCACGCCCGAACGCCTTTGTCTCCCCAGTGGCGATGTTTACACCGCCAACAGGTGCTCGTACGAGTCTGAGTCGACCTAGGGGAGGCCCAGGACCGGTTCAGATAATCGTTACTGGTGTTGGCCGTGAGCGGGAATCGAATTCGGGTGGGCGGGTTCGTAGCGCAGCGCGTTAACCGCTGCACCACCGCTCTTCAAGAGCCCCCCCCCCCCCTACACACACTACACACCACAACACGCACAAGCCAACCAAAAAAAAAACCTTGTCTCCATGGCAGCCACCCCCTCCTAATGATCCACTAATTATCCAGGATACAAATATATTATCTTCCTGCTACTCCCTCCTCCTCCACCACCACCGCTGCCGCCACCACCACATTAGGTATTTAATTCAACTCAAATCGATGGCCATTTAATTGTAATCAGGGGCTCCTTTGCATTTTTATTGACTTCACGTGGAACTGCGAGCAGAATTGTACGGCATTACCATTAAGTATGATTACCGTCCTCATAACTATGCCATCGTTACAATATTTGTATTTATTACTTTATAAGAGACTGGGAAAACATGTGT